CACAGAGAATCGCCAGAGACACAAGATACTCCTTTCCTTCGGCTTTCTCAAGGGTCTTGATACCTACCTACCCTAGGACATCATTGAGCGAGAAACGTGGTGGGTGATGCTCCATAGTCTCCCAGGACTAAGCCTGGAACTTATTCGCATTTTCCATTGGAATGTTCACCTGTTTCATAAGTTGTAATACACTGTCATCCCCTTATTCCACTCCTTAAGCCCTTTGAATGGAACAGCCAAGTCAAACCAATCAGTAGCCGTCCTCGGTGCTGAACGGACTAGCGTAGAGAGTGGAGGTATCTTCTGGCCAATCGCAGGTCTTACACTGCTTGGCAGGACGGCCCCACTGTATCCGTGTCCGGCCCATGTCCGTCCTGCTCTTGTATATCTCACTGCAAGCCCTTCTACGTGACAAAAATGTTCCCCTTTTGTATCAGATGATGAAATCGCATTACCATTCGTGATTGAAATCGTACCAAGATCCTCACTGAATCCACACGATAATGAGTGATCAAAGTTCCGAGAAGCCTGCGGATGCAGCACCCAGAAGCCCGCATACTCCTGGCGGTCTCGCTGATAATGGCGACACATATCCCAATGAGACCGCAAAGCGTCGTATTCGGGGTTGGAGGGTGAGTTACTCCAAAAGCCTTGGCCTTCTAAGCTTTGTCGCTAACATTGGTTGCTTGGTTTAGTGGGCTGTTGCCTATTCAGCAATGCTGTCTACAACGCTCCTCTTTGCTATCGACAATACCATCGTTGCAAACATCCAGCCTAGTATCATCAACGACTTTGGCCGTCTCGAGCTTATGTCATGGATCGGTACGGGTTTTGCTCTCGGCACCATGTTTATTCTTCTCTGGGGCAAAGTATACGGTGTCTTCAACATCAAATGGGTCTACATCTTCAACATCTTCCTTTTCGAGGCCGGGAGTGCTGTATGCGGTGCTGCACCTAACATCCAAGCACTCATAATAGGCCGTGTCATCGCTGGTGTCGGTGGTTCTGGAATGTATTCTGGCACCTTGACATATGTATCGGTTCTTACCAACGAGCAAGAGAAGCCAGCATACCTTGCTGGAAGCACTGTTGTGTGGGGCATTGGAAGTGTTCTTGGCCCCGTTGTAAGTCCCCTCTCCCGTCTCGTCAATGACTCTAGACTGATCATTTCCGGTAGGTTGGCGGCGCATTCGCAACAAGTAGTGCGACCTGGAGATGGGTATGCAACTTTCCTTTCTCTCATTCGAAACGTACTGACTCAATACCCTAGGGATTCTACATCAATCTCCCCATCGGCGCTATTTTTGCCCCTGCGTACTTCCTTCTATTCCCCTGTACCGATCCCAACCCTACCAAAACTTTCGCGGAAAAGCTCTGCCTCGTCGATTGGATCAACGCAGTCATCTTCCTGGCGGGATCTGCTTGCCTGACCGTTGCGCTGACCTTCGGCGGTGTCGTCTACTCATTTAAATCAGGGACCATCATTGCGCTCTGGACTGTCACCGGCGTTCTTCTGGTGGCTTTCATAGTCCTGCTTAAAATACATCCTCTAGTATCAGAAGAAAACCGCCTGTATCCCCTGCACTTCTTCAAGAAGTGGATTCTTATCAACGTGCAGCTCCAAGTCTTTTTATCTTCAGGCATCATCTTAGTAAGTTGCATAGTATTGAAAGGAATACGTTGACTAACCATGTCCAGGCCATGACTTACTTCGTCCCGTTGTACTTTCAGTTCATAAAGGTAAGGGTTCTGACTGCGTCATGAGGTATTCGTAACTGACATCTTCAGGGCGATGGAGCGCTCGAAGCTGGCGTTCGTTTACTTCCTTTGATCATGTTTATGGTTGCTGTCTCAATGTTGAATGGCTTCCTGATGCCGAAATACGGACTGATCCCTGTTTGGTACATTGGAGGTAGTGCTTTTGCACTCATCGGTAGTGCTCTAATGTGTAAGTTGCTCATTATTCTGGTAGTCTGTTCTAACGCCCTCCAGATACCATTGATGAAACCACATCTAACGGCAAGGTATACGGCTACAACGTACTTGTCGGAGCCGGAGCGGGATGCTATATCGTCGCTGGGTTCGCCATCATGCAGTCACTGGTTCCTACCAGCGAAATTGCCAATGCAGTTGGTGCCATGACAATTTGCAAGTATCCCCTGGCAAATCATTCCGCGTTGTCTCCAGCTGATCTTTGACTCTAGCCCAGGATCTCGGAATGGTACTCTTTCTAGCTATCAGTGGCAGCCTGTTCCACAACGTCGCCGTTGACAAAGTGGGCAATGCTCTGCCAACCGCCTCCCAAACTGAGATTGGAAACTTGATTGCGGGCACCAGCAGCGTTGTGTTCAAAGCCCTTTCTGAAGAAGAGAAGGCCGTGGTTATCCCAGAAATCGCAAGTGCTATGAAGAGCATCTGGGCCTTTTTCATGGCGGCCGCAGCGCTTAGTTTCGTGTGCGCTTGCCCACTAGTTGTAGGTCTCTCATTTCATACATATGTCAATTAACTGATCCTTACCAAACTTAGAAAGCTAAGCTTGATGGAAAGAAGATCGAACCAACTGCGATAGCCTAAAGGGTGCTGAGACCTTTTGGGGCACCATAGATGGAGAACATTGGCTTGAACATCCATTACATTTGCGTGTCTAGGAATTTTATTATTTGGTGGATGCTTAACTTTCTTGTAGCTTGACTATGATCTTGTAACAACAGTTACACAGCAGAACAAACATCGGTTGCAATAAGAGATGATTACTTGCCTAGATTTGGCTGTTCCCCAAATATGCTGCCGAGTAAGAGAGTCCATTCGGCAGAACAGTTGCTACTTGTGAACAGCGTCTCCAGCCAGACGGATTCGGCCGAAGGTCCAATGCTTCAGGACCCCTTTTTCAAGTGATATCATTTGCGCTTTTAGGCATAGTTTCCACGGTTCCCCAAATACGACTGTAACTGTGACAGGACGCTCATATATCTTACTCGCGAGCGCCTCCGTATCGGCCCAAGTATGACGTCGGCTGGTGGGCTACGCACACTGCTCGTCTTCGGGGAGCTTGCTGTGCACAATGATGGAAATCCAGTCTGGTTGGCAGAGGAGGAGAAAAGAGTGCTTGTCATTGGAGGTGATTTCCATGTCGTGAGCACCAATACCTGGGACTGGTGAACTTGCCATTACAAGGCATTCTATTGAGTGACCATAGCTTAAGACTGCGAGCAGCTGAGAACGGCAGTGATAAAGCCATATATACTCACCTCTCTTCTCGTCCACTGTGATCATATCAGACTATAGAGTGTTGGCTTTATCCCACATGACCTCGCGGACCTTGGAATGGACGCCATCAGAACCAACTACTAAATCACCAACGAACTCACAGCCATTAGCCAGAATGATACGGGCTCCCAAGTTCTCTTCTACAATTTCCTCAACACAGGCCTTTTCGTAGACTTGAGATTTATCGGGCAGTAGGTTGTGTATCTGACGCAGGAATACTTGGCGGTCGAGTGTCCCTTCCTTTCCAACAGCAACTTCATACCATGTTTCAAAGATCAAGAAATCAGCACCTATACCTTAGTGCCTTGGTCGTATAGGGTCTCTGGGGATATGATTCATTCAACGGCATGTTCCGCCGCCTTGACATACTAACAAAGATACTCCACTTTCTAGATGGTAGACCTTTGCGCCTCTCATACCCTGGCCTTGCACCGCTAGATGCCCAGCTTTCTTTCGTCACAGCATTCTACGACGTCCTCATAAACTCCCTCAGCTCCGGGCCACGCTTGTTGTTCTTTGAAATTAACTATGCCGTTGCATTCGCAAACTTATGGGCGCTCACTCAGTCTCGCCGTCGTGGCGTGCGTTCCTTGTTCCCGAGGTATCTAGCGTGGGCTATAGTTCTCTGCAACTTCAAACGCTACTATTGTGCTACCGTTGTACGTGTTCATGCTCTGCCGTAGCAAGGCACACTTACGTGACTCGAGTGCGCCGTTTCATGATGCGGTGGCGATGACAGTGACAGCTTTGGTGATGCTGCTTTAGCCGCGGCTCATTTTTGCACCGGCATGGCTGGGCTTTGATGGAAGCCAAACTCGTCAGGGGTTGATTGCCCTCTTTCAAGTGACCCCTATCCTTATTCTCGGCTTCTACGTCAGCTTTGCATCAATACTCCCTCAAAGGCCTATCACACTAATATCATCCAGAGAAGCCAAAAAGTGGATTATTGCGTCCCTTATTCTTGCTGGAACCGTCGCTTCGGCCGTGCACATCTATACTGTGATCGGTGCACCACGAACCCACGACGCGGATGCGTCCCTAGCGGGACTCTTAGCTCCTGCCTGGCGTTTCACTGACCTAGGCACGATCCTTAAGATTACCGAGGGAAGTTCGGGAGAGTATGCCGCACTGCTGGAAACCCTTCACCCGTTTCCCAACGGGATTGGATCGTTGTGTGTCCGGCGAGAGTCGTGTCTGTCCACTTGTTCCTTTCTCATCGGGATGGACTCAAGGTTGACAAGTCGACATCGCCACACGAGGTCCAGGAACTGGTCTATCTTATGGCATCTACAGCCGTTCTCGGGCCCGGAGGTGCAGGTTCATTTGCGCTTGCAATCCGAGAAGCCTGGATCTGATGCGACCAGTACTCCGAGCTCCTGCTTCTTACCGGATACTTAAGACTACTCTTTAGAAGGAAATAAAAGAGTCAGGACTGTCTTAAATTAGGATTGTATTTCTATGTTGACCGATATGGTATGCATAATACAATGATTATATAATAGAAATTTACTTATCACCGGCTCTTGCCATATCCCCCCGTCATGCTAATGGCAGGATTAAACAAGTCAGCCATCGCTAGATACAAATGAAGTATTCTGATTATTACCAGGGCCGATCCAATTTCTGTTCGTACCTTCAACATCTTCATACGCTTTGATAATATACATAGAGCACCTCCTGTTGACTGAGGACTACCTTCTGATATTTTATCGCAAGCCCAGAACTTATAATTCCTACTTCTTTCTAGAGAATGTTTGAACCTTAATGGCGCAAACAGGACCCGGGCGCTCTTCCATAAGTTTCAACGTAAACTCCTTATCTGACGACCTCGTCTTCCCAGATACTGTGATAGAAAATGATCCTCCGCTAGGCAAGATACGCTTGGAAGTTGAAGTTGGATCTCTCTGTGGCAGTGGTTGCAACTCGTACTCGTATGAGATCACGCCACCAATCTTTCCATTCGGCTGGTGTAGCCTCTTCTGGAAAATATCATCTGGGCCACTGTAGGTACATTTTCCGTCTTTGGCATCGGGGGCGGTGCTGAAAGACTCGTTGCTGAACAGGCAGACGGTGTCAGAGCCAGTGGTGAAGCCAAACTTGATAGAGAGAATTTCAGTGTCGGATGAAGGTTTCTCAGCATTAGGTGTAGTGATGAACTCTATGCTCGAACTCTTGGTATTCTTGCCAGTGACTTTGAAAGAAAAATCTGCGTCCTTGGGTATATCAGTTGGCGTAATGGTCCACTCGAGTGCAGTCGAAGGAGGATCATCGATCTTCTTGAGCCAGCCATTGTCTCCCCTCATACTGTCAACGAACTTCTCCCCGGGGGTCTTCTCTGGTTCTGGTCTGCCATACACCAAGTAGAAAATCGAGATAACCAAACCAACCACCATAAGAACTTGTCCAATGACTGGGATCAAAGCACAGGTAGAGAACAGGCCAATAATTCCAACGACCACAGCAGCCGCCTCAATAGCAATCTGTGCAATCGCTAATCCTCTGCCAGTGCCGGAGAGCTTACCCCATTGGTTGCACAAATCCCAAATCATGAACGCGACGACCACAGCACTTATAGCGACGCTAAGAAAGCGTATGACTCTTGATGAGAGGGAGAGTCTTCTTCTCATTCTTCCGAACCAGGTTGTCTCTCTCGCTGCTTTCTCATTTCCTACTTTGGCGATTTGCTCGACATCAAAGTCATGGACGTCGAATTTAAGCTCTGTAGCGTTCGCCTTTCCAAGGGCATAGGCGGGTAGCTTTCTGCCGCTTGTCTGGTTTATTACCTGGCACTGCGCCACCAGTTCCCTTGCATTCTTAACTTCGGGCCTCAAGAGAAAAGGTGTAAGGATGTCGAAAACCCCCTTCGTTACGTCCGTCGTGACTCGTCCTATCTGGGCTGCGCTCATATCCTTGCTTCCCATGACAATATTATAGATACTGAATCCAATGAGACTCATCTAAGGGCGAAGTTCGTTAGTCGCTAGTCTCACTCGGTGGTCTCTGGGATATTGTAAGTTCACATACCTTGAACGCTACTCCAAGGCCTTTCCATCCAGACTTTAAATTTACCTCCAAGAGGCTCTGCCCTTTTAGGTGGTCCCAGTTTCCAAACTTCCCACGTTTCCACGAGCCTACCCCTATAATCAGGAGTGATTTCGCTGCCAAATCTCCGGAAACGAGGATGTGAACCATGTCAGCGTAGTTCTTGGCAGCAAATTCTTTCCCGTTCTTTTCAAAAATGTCTCGATGGGCAGCCATAAAGGTATCCAGCTCCTTTCTCAACAGATCTCTCAAATCTTTGTCGATTCCCTCGTAATTCTCGTTTAGGATCGCGCCGATGAAGGCTTTGGTGATGTGCGGCAGCCAGTCCATCACTGCGTCCTTGTTAACCCGCTGGGTCATGGCGAAACCGAGGAACTTCGTATATATAGCATCTCGGAAACGCTCATGATAGTTTCCGTCCGGATAAAGCGCCCAGAGGATCGTGGTGTACCTGTCTAGGATCCGCGGATTGCTTTCCATGTCCTCCACGATGTCGTCCATCTTGACGTTCAGAAGCTGATCTAAGTATGCTTGTGCCCACTTCTCCCCGCCATCATTGATGAATTTCTGGAGGACGGGGAAAAGTTGCTTCAAGGCTTCGAGGAGGCACAGGCGATTTAAAGTCGCATTCTCTGGGCATTTGACAAGGCATTTTGGACCTTGGCCCTGCCAAAAATACAGAATCTTCTTCTTCTCGTCGTCTGTAAATTTGGACCGCCATTCTCGAGTTTGCAGACTCTGGGCAATTTGAAGGCAGGTATATGCTGGTCCAAAGGTCTCCTTTATCCATTTGGATAGATTCGATGGGAGATTGCCGCCGAGATGGTCCGGTAGTTGTCGGGTTTCCTTGTCCTTTGAAGATAGTAATGAGGCATGGCCCTGATCCATATGATAGAACATGAGGTTCTGGAATATCAGATCGCTTGTTGACTTCACCTAAACCAAGAGAGCTCATATTAGTCTTTCGATCACGCCCCCTAGAGAATCACTTACCGTATCATCGTTGTATTTTGCGAATATGGCATGAAGGTTCTGTAATGCCAAATCGCTTTTGCCGACTGGTGGCTGGAATATTGGCTCTTTCTGTGGCGTTGTCTGCCCACCAGTCGGCCCTCCCGTAGGTATATCTCCTACGATCTGGCCGTGACCTATTCTAACCGGAACTCTTTGTGAGGCAGAGCCCGGACGTGACATGATCAGGTGTCTGTCGTATCAGTCAGTGCCAAGTATTTTATACGCAATTGTTCCATGCATACCGAATTCCTTCAGCGCCATCTCTTGAAGGATCTTGATTATACTCCCACAATGTTCCAGAAACAATCTCACTCTTGTCGTCTGAGAAGTTCAGCTCGAGCCTAGCAAACAGCAAAGGAAGTTTGGCTTCTTCTCCAAGCTCGTCTTTAAACGTCGATGTTTTGGAAGGATCCTCAGCGTCTTTCCTATCTTCCAAAGTCTTCAGGTTCTCCAAAGTTGTTGGTGGAATGGTGACGGTGGCTTTTAGTCGCCCATTGTGCATCATGGTCGCCGTCTCATACAAGCGCGAGATCTTCAAGGTATCGTCGCTCTGCTTGCGATTCCATAAATCCAAAATGTTGTCCAGGGCAGGAATAGCGATATCAGTGAACAAAATTCCCGGAGTTCCATCTGTGATCACTCGCTGAGTCGCCAGTTGTATAGGACCGAAGTCGAGTTGTCTCTGAATTTGTACTTGGTCCTTTTGCAGGGGTGCTTCGTCGTAGACAACATCATACTCCCGTGGCTTTACTTCAAATCGAATATCCCTCGTGGGAGCAGAAGCTCCGGTGACCGTCTCGGCGTGCACTTGTGATGTCATAATCCCATCGACTGCCGCCATCTTTTTCTCTTCCACATCGACAGACTTCAACATCAGCTCACCATTTGAGTCTTCTATGGGCCCGTCTGTATTGAGTTGAACGGGCTCAAAAGATGCTGCTTTGAAAAGCAGCTCCTGTTTTGGAACGCCGACACTAAGAGGGTCCATCTCGAGCTCGCATTCAGAGCCATAAGTCATATACTGAAACATTGGTAGGTCCAGAAGATATCTCCGTCGTAGTTTTTACTGTAGCAAATCCGCGCAATGCCTGAATGATAACGTGGATCTTCTATGGATAAGACTCCATGCTCGACCACGTCCTGGCCGATAAAGCGGGACCATCTTACTTCACTTTTGGCGTTATCCACACGTCCATACTCACAGACGACTCCATTTACTGAAGTGATTCCGTCGAACAGAGTTACAATGGGGAGTGCATGCGGAAGCTGGGAGTAGTCTTGACCAGGTATCTCTTCTGGATAGAAACATACCGATGCATGTGAAAGACCGGCCAGCTTGTTTTCGGTGACGTTGTACATCCGCGCGGTCAAGCTATTCGTTGCTGCCTCGACTTCGCGATGAACCATTTCGGAAACGGTTGCTATTCCGAATCGTTCAAAAAGAGGATTCAGTTCTTTCAGTGACCGTAGAAGTCGTATTTGATCCTCCTGTGAGAATGTCGCAAGTGTGGAACAAATTCGTTTCAGTGTGATCTCTGGGTAGTTGACCATCACAAGGTAGTCATTGGCGTGGTAGCTTCGTCGACCCTCGCGAAGATGGACGCCGTAAACCTCGGTGACCTCGGGCATCTGGCGCCAATTAATATCCAGAATGGGAACTTGGTCGTATGTCCTCCCATCCTTTCCCAGCCGGTATAGAATATGACCAGCTGAAAGTCGACCGACTTCTGCCCAGGGGTTCTCCTTGATTGCCAGCTCGGCATCGAGAGCTCGGAGACCAGTAGTCGTGTGAAAGACGTGGCCGGCAGTGAAGAACGGAGCTTCATTGTCTATGCTGCTTCAGAATCGTGCCAATGGTCTCAGAAGGGGATAACGCAGACTCACTGAACCCATAGATGATAGGTGAGTCTACTGGGATAACAACTCTTTCGTCAGACACAAGGCCCCATTCGTCGTTTGCTCCGTTAGTCAATACCCAGTCATTTTCTTCGAGGCCTTCGATAGGCTTGTTTCCAGATTTTGTGATGATCTTGGTTCCAGCGATAAAACATGTGCCTGACCCATTGTTCGAGGGGGGTTGATATTTGTACTGGGTCCACGGTCCCGGCCTCTGCATAATAAAATCGGCGGATGCGCCAGCGAAATGTCAGTCCCTGCGGCGTCTAGATTGGCACAACTACTACTCACAATTCCTCAAATAGTATACGATACCCATCGCCTCTACTCTCAACGGCACAAAGTGCAGCAAGGGGTATGCCGCCATATCCTGCAAGGAAAGCATGTTCTGGGGGACTGTGTCAACACTACGAGCCAGAGTCTCTGCTTCTTCCGAAACGATCTGCTGCTGTTTCGCCCAGAGAACTGCGAGCTCGTGAGTATGGGATTGCCATCCTTCTGCGCCTCCGAGATCCTGGATCTGCTTGAGGATCTCCTCCGTTTTGGTACCAGACTCGGGGTGGAAGGGCATATTCTCTAACAGACCCAAAACCTCTTCATGCTCAGGCGGCCGAAAGGTGGCGTTGTCGAAAATGCCATATGACACTGGGAGGGCTCTCAAAGCGCCAAGTGCGACGCGACCTGCCAAGGGGGATCCACTGGCTTGCTGAATGCATTTCAATGCAATATCGCCCACGGGGCTCTTCCATACATCGTCACTTGACAGAATTTGTGGTCGTTCCGGTTGGCTGAAATACTGCACAAGGAACAAGGATGCTTCTATCCAGGTAGCCTCACCAAGCCCCATGTGCTCCGTCATATCCTCGATTGAGTCTTCTCTAGAAAGTGATTCAATAAAAGCTTTGGGGAAGCCGTCATAGCGAGCAAGACTACGGAGCGGTGGCATTTTGCATTCCTCCAGATGTTCACTGACGTGATCGGCGTACAAGAGGAAGGTCACTCGTGTAAGGGCATCTCGGCGGTATTTCTCAGCCTCGCGCTTTAAGACATTAGCATAACGAAGAATTATAATGGCCTTCTTTGGTAACTGGCGCTTAACTAACCAGAGAAACACATTGTCTGATACCATTCGGATCATATCGAATTTCGGCAATTCCGATGGCCCTGGTGGAGTCAGCCAGAGATTCGACAGCTTGAATACCGGTCAAAGTTTCCAGGTTGCTTGTATTCGGATCACGGAGGGTTGCTGAAGCTTTGGCCGTCCCATGAATTTTAAAAGAGAACTGATCAGGCTGGTCAGTGATTCTCAAGTAGGCCTTGTTTGTATCAAAGAGGGGGAGAGTCCGAAGTGCTGTCCCAAGACCTTTGATCGTTACATCAGGTAAGCCATCATGCCGAAAAGGCTTGGTGGCCAACGAAGCGGTCATTGTAGCGTGTCTTAGAGCGATGGATAGACAAAATCGTGAGGAATAGGTGGTGATTGTTTCTGAACCAAAAAGCCTCACGGTGTACAGACCGAGGCATAGCAGCTGGATATTGGATTGAGACCTTGCTGGTTAGTTGTTATCGTCGGCCTGTCAACGTACGCTGATAAGCGCTGAGCCCTAGCCACAGGAGGTCTAGACAATTGTAAAGCTGGAACTACGCATATCTGGAAAAGAACATTTTGAAGTAAATTTGGTTAGATTGCGGGGACCTTGCATGGTCTAGATTGTTCTCTACATATTGGAAAGGATTGTGACTGGTAGTTGGAAGTCAGAGTTCAAACTATTGCCAATAGAGCTGAAATACACGCCTGGCTAATTTAGGGTCGTTTTTCGTCAAGCCGGCTTAAGGCCAAATTCTAGTTTTAAATAGTTACCCTAAATCTTTTTCTTAACGCTGTAATATAATAATTAAGTGTTAAGTCATAATATACTGACATGCAAACGGTATTTTTGGCCTTGAGATCAAACTCATCCTCAATCGTAATTTCAAGTATAAATCGACTATTGCCACGTAAATCCAACAACTGATAGTTTTTGAAGGAGGCTAGTGAAGCTTGCGAGGGCGGCGAAAATATTAAGTTCTAGTCAACAAACTAATTACTCTCTCCCTACGTGCCTCTCATCTTCTCCTCATTCTATGGTCTTTCTTCGCCCAGCACATATTCACTGCTTCAGAGACTGTGTCAAAATCCGAGGACACAACGCGCCCTATAAAAAGGACTTGGAGGGTATGCTCAACGGTCATAAGCTTTGCATAGCATACTCGAGTCGTCCCGTCTATCCTCTCACCGGGATCTTGTATATAAACACGAATAGGAGGAAATCCCGGTTCAGGTTCCCCTTGTAGAATCTGAGGGTAGCGCTTATCGGACTCACAAACGATGCCATGACTTTGAGGATCAACTCCTTTCTTTTTCAATCCTTTTCCACCATATGTTGTGATTGGCCTGCCTCATCAGCGCTTGCATCTCGTTCGCAATTGTTTGACTTACACGCATGTGCAATGACCTCTGTCGTTGGCCACAACAATGAAGCGACGAAAGCTGACAAATACAAATTCACCATAATGATCACGATATAGTGTTTCCTCGCCGATATGCGGAATTCCAGGGGCAGGTTCAGGCCAGACAGTCTTAAAAACCTGTAAAATATACATCAGGGATGAAGCACATGATGCTACATTTGTACATACCTCACCAGGCTGGAACATGTGCGATTTAGCAACTTGGTAGCCTTTCGAGATCTTAGCTTTTGAATGTTGGTAATGTTGTTTCCATGCTTACGAGGATCCAGCATCTCATTGTATTCCGGAGCCTCTGTCGCCTCATGGGTCACGTCCAGTGCTTGCTCAATCGACTCGGTCATATGCTGATTATGCCTCGCATTTGATGCCTCTCCGACAGGCCCTTGTGGTGCGTAAGCCTTTCTGTTCAATACCATCTTCTCATTGACTGGAGAACTGGCTTTCATCCATGTTTTTTCTCATCACTGGGGATGGTCCTTGGCAGAGAAATAGTGCAATTCGCTCAAGATGGTTTGCTACATGATTGGTCAGTCCCTTGAGGAACGGTTGTTCTTCGAAGCATATGGGGCAAACATTGCGGTCATCGACGCGACCCAATTTAGAGACGTTGGTCAAGTCCTCGAGTTGCTCGCCAGAGAGGCTTCTATCATGATCTAGTAACAGATGACTCTGAAAACTGGAAGATGAAGCATACCAGGCATCTGGGTGATCGCGGCATCGCCAACTAGGTCGATGTACAGTTTCTTCATGATCCACCCACGCTTTTCTTGATTGATAAAGATCGTTGGCCGAGTTGCATGTTTCATACGTGCATACGTAAGGCTTCAAGTCATGAAGAACATGCGACTTCCAGCTCTTCCCTTTCCCTTCTTTCGGGGGGCAAACCACCCAACAGTAAGGGCAGGTAAAGGAGTCTCCATTCAGTGCCTCCTCAGGAGGTTTGGGGACCTCAATTCCTTTTCCATCGGCATCGAGGGCAGTCGAGGCCATCGACAGTATAGTTTCCCTCTCTGTTCTATCATCTAGGGCGGGATCATGCGGTGTCGCATTAGTCTCAGAGAGGTGACTTTGTTCCTCAACCGGGGGAGGGAGTTCAAGCCGTTGTATCTGTAGAAGTCCCACGTCCTCTGCAAGCTCTGACACTGAGGGCCTTTCTCTGATAGGTGTCTGATGCACAGGTAGAATCTGAACACCAAGCTTTCTAGCATGCCTTTCCCAGTATCTAAATTGCTTCCGACGTAAGACATTAGATGTTGTGAGTCTTTCAAGAAGAGCATCAGAAGATCCATCGTCCTCAGGCTTTCCCTGACGCATGGCTGTGAAAAGTTCAATCAGGTGCCTTGAGTCAAATTCATAAATCGTATCAAATAGATCAATGCCCGTGTTATTATCCACCGCTTGGATCAAGTTAGCCCTAGTAGTACTAGGGCGCAGACCAGAGTTTCGAATTTTGTGGGATAATCTGTATAGGCTACTGAGTATGTCTGTAATACTTGTAACCCTCATAGATAGCTCAGTTGATGGGAAGTACTCGTTGTTTGTGTCATCTTCGGATTCTTCGCTTAGATCTGACGGGATAGACTCCTCATCGAACGGAAGCCTTTGTCCTGATACCACAGCGGTAGCTACTCTGTCACTAGCTTCTCATCTCTTCAAATCTCGGCTTTTAAAGCTTACACTCTACCAATGCTATCCCAAGCTGTTGGAGAAGTTGTGAGATGTTCTTTTGCATGAGAGGCGACTCTCTCAAAGAGAGGAATAGCCCGTCTGCAAAGCCCCCAAATTTCCACACCAAATCCTGAATTTTCCAAGCTGTATTTCGATTGTCGAAGGAGGCATCCGCTGCAGGAATCGAGGTGCGGTTTCTCTGAGACTCGACAAAACATACTGGAAGCCATTGATACATGATTGACTCAGGCTTTGGACTGTGTTCATGGCGGTGATCAGTACAGTCTACTTGTACGCACTACTGTGTTGACCAGCTAATGGAAACGCCAAGCGTAGCAAGGAAATGGTGATGTTGTGAGCTAGATGTGTTATTTGTAGTTGAGACTTATGGCTGAGATTTTAAATCAGTATAGAGAACTTGGGAAATGATGGCAAGCTCAAGACACAATCAAGTTTCTCGATATTGCATAATTCTTTACCCTGCTTCCAGCAATCTCTGCTTTAAATCCCTCGATATGCGTAAGCGACATCAATTTCCATCTTGGATGCTCAGCTGGTGCTGCGAGCGCGCTCATGATTGGTAGCCTCGTTCTCGGTATGCAAGCTGGCAAAAGGGCCGCGAATTTGATCTGATCATCCAAAGGCGGGATATGATGACCCTTCCTCTTCTCACTCTGTTTTTATCCAACTGAAACTTGGCAACATTACAGGCAGCGAGCCAGATGTCCGGGTTTGAGATCGCTGGCATTGTTCTGGGGTCCATCCCTCTGCCTATCTCAGCGATAGAGCACTATAGCGACAGCCTCGATCGCGCAACTGCTTTCTTCAAATGGAAGGATGGGTTGAATTCCGCTCTGCGGGAATTCTGGTATCAGCACTCGTCTTTCGAGCTGACTTTGAGGAACATCCTCAAAGATGTGGCTAACCCACCCGAAATAGAGCAGATGATTAGAGATCCTCATCATGAACTCTGGAAGTCACAAGAGCTGTCCCAGGCTTTGCAAGAGATGCTCAAATTTGCATACCGTCCTTATATATCTACTATCAAGGATATGCATGCGTGTATGAAAAGGCTGGTCAGCCATTTATATATAGATCGTGATGCTGTGAGTAATTTTGACATGAGCTAATTACTACGTAGACTGACTGGAATCATAATTACAGGGAACTGCAGATGATCTCGAGGCGATCATGAAAGCGAACAAGAGACTGCCGTCCGCTGGTGGCCTTGTAAGGTTCGATTTTAAACGTGCCGTCAGGTCAACTATGAAGAGAAAGGATGTCCGGATACTCCTGGAAGACATGAAAGCATGCAACAACCGCCTGGATGAGTTCATCAACAAGTCGGAGGTTCCGAGTAACAACAGCATGACTGGAAGTACTGTTGAAAAGTTGGGATTGAGCTCCTCACTACAGCAAATACAAAACTACGCAACCATGTTGCATCAAACTCTAGGCAAAGCCTGGTCCTGTTCAGCTCATGCTTCACACGAAATTCGCCTGCTCTTGGAAGACAGAGTGATACGTCGCAGCGAACCGAGACCTCACAAGAAGGTGAAACCGTCAAGCAGACCACCGTGTTCCACCATTACACATAAATCGCCAATGAGCTCTGCGCTCTGGAAGTCAGCCAAGATAGAGATTATTGATTCAGATCAAAGGTAGTTGAAGAAGACAAAACAGTCAGATTCAGAGAGGCGTATCCCAGGAGGTTTTCCCAAGGCCAGCAAAGCATGAACATCCGAGGCATTCATGGTTTAGCGGTAGTTGGAGACCTCTGTACCGTCTTTCGCTGTTACAACGGGTTTGGCTTTAGACTTGACGACCAGGGTGTGCTTTACGAGACCTACCAAGCCGAAGTCAAACCTGTCTGTTGCGCGGAAAGTCTGATCAGCCTTCAGGAGCTCCTCTTGGCACATTCTGGCATGAAGTGCTTTACTCCTTTGACTGAGGAGCAACGGTATCGACTGTCGATTATCCTGACTTCATCATTTCTCCAACTCCATTCAACTCCGTGGTTCAACAAACGCTGGAACCAACACACAGTATTCTTCTCGTCAAGTTCGATTGATGATCAGCTTGTGGTTGACCTTCGGCATTCTTTCATCGCGGAGAGTTATGGGGGTTCTCCGTGTCAAAACACAACCTCAATGGAAGCAAAGGAACTTGCAGATGATAGCGCAAATCTACTGATTCTGGCGAAGATCCTTCTTCAGATCAAGTTCCACGGTCGGATGAGTTTCGCGAATAATAAAGAAAGCGTATCAAATCCAACAGCTTTTGACCGAGTACGGGAATCTCAACTCCTTAATCAGTGGATATTTCAGGAAAGGGAGAACTTGTCCTTTGCGCACTACAACGCCATTCAGTTCTGCATAGCGTCTTCAAATAGTATTGAATCTGATCTTTGGGATCTGAAGTTTCGACAAATAGTTCTGGACCGAGTGGTTGTGCCTTCAGTTAATGAACTGGGTCACTGGCAAGGGATCATGTAACTTAGACGCTAGGAGATGAGAATGTATACATGCATGTTCTGGCTCAGAGTGTTATTTATAAATCCTTTGATTTATTTCTAGAGCGAGTGGATGACCAAAATGGTACTCAGGAGGTCAGACTATGTCCATGACTTGATGATGGTTGCCAGGAGCGAACTTTGAGAACGAGAGCCTGATTCAATACATGAGCAAAGTACAGTGGGGGCCACTTTGTTGAACGAATTGGAGTGAAATAGACTGCAGCAGGCCCCACCCGCTATATCCCCTTCAGTTGAGAAGGCTGCCACTTGCATGAGCACCTGAAGGTGACTCCAAGCATCAGATGGAAGATGGCAGTAAAGTACAAAAGAAAAGAATTATTGTTTAACAAACCCGAATCAACATGGGCCGTGATTGCTGTTGTCAATCCTGTATCCTTATCCCTATCTCAGGAAGTTTTGTTTTGGTGGAGCTCCTAAATAGGCTACGAGCTCCAGTACAGTATCCGAATGGCGTGAGAGATAAGTCTGCCTTGTGTCAAGGTGGCGCTTGGCTAAGGATGACTACGGGATGCAGGTGAGCAAGACACCATTGAAAATGTACCTCACCTGTTTCAGCTGACCTTTTAAGCGGTTGCCCATAAACTAAAGCAGCCACCTGCTGCCCCTCAATCGAAACCTCGTCACTTTCAGTTCACTTTTCTGCCTTTTTTTGTGCTTTAGTTCCTATCTTATCCAGAAGTGTAACCCAACTTTGCTGTATCTTTTACTTGTCAATCTCGTCATGGCGAGACCGCGAGAAGGCTCTGTTTCCTCCACATCCGACTCAGAGCCCGAGGATGAGGACCTGATAGGGTTTTTCGAGGGAATCACCCAGTCGTGTGTCGATGCCAACTTTTCAGACGGAGATGAATCGTCTTCTGTTTCGACGTACATATCCTGGCGGATGCCCTCAAATGAATTGTTGGTCCTGTCAGCTTTTGGCCTTTTCTTCTCTAACATAGCTTAGTATTGAGGAACAGGCTCTGAAACTCCAAATATCATCTCGATGCCGCATCTGCAACCGCCGAGGTCGAGCTGGAGAGTTTGCCTTCTGCACCGGATGTGGCAATTCCAAGCGACCAGCACATAGAACATGCCTAGCAAGGGATCGACAACACATTATGAGCCCTCGACGAAGACTTAGCGTTGGCGACGAAGAGTGCAAAGAGGTTGATTACAGCGACTATGTCTTCACCCGATACCTGCTCCAACCACCTGCACCCAATCTAAAGTTGCAATTACATACCAAGGATGCCACATGTGCTTGGATCGGAGTTCCCTCCCTGCAACGGTTTAAAAAACCACAGATCCACGTTTGGCCTCGCCTTCAAGATCTTCTCCAGATGTCGCGATGCGTCAAGCCGGGCCAATATCCCAAGCTTGTCTCGTTTATTGGCGAGACAGGTTCGGGAAAAAGCACTCTGATACGAACAATGATCCAAATGGCTCGACCTGATCACCCCGAAGGAGAGTCTGTTCCTGTGCCTGGGTCTCCAAGTGATCGGTTTGCTTCCACGAGTAGTGACATCCACGCCTACAGCGATCCACTCACCCTCTCGACAAATTATCCAATAGTCTATGCTGGTAAGCTTTGAAGTTTCCTCAAATAGCCTACCAATCGGCTGACGTTTTTGATAGACTGCGAAGGCTTTGTTGGCTCCGATAAGCCCATTGCGCAAGAGATTATTGCTGCTCTTTCACAACCAAATTGGCTATTTCAGTGGGAATTCGGCGAGGAATCCGCCGAGCACAAAGTACTTAAACACTGGCAGGACAAACAGGACAAGCTACTGAGACAAGTGAACCAATTCCTAAACGGCGCCGAGAGCAGAATTAATGTTGAATGGGGCAAACTGGACTGCCCAGATCCACGTTCATCAGTTATCATGGAAGACTCGGATGGGCGAAGGCTGTGCACTGTCCAGAACAACACCCGAAAGCTCATCGTGAAGTTTCTGTACCCCAGAGTCCTTTATGGCTTTTCAGATGTAGTTTGTTTTGTCACGACTAATGGAAGGTTTGTGCAATGCGACACCATATCGAGCGATTATCTATTAACAATAGCAGGACTTCTGATAGTTTCTTGGGTCAGCTAATTGACTGGGCTCAGCACTCACATGACCGAATCCTCAACCAACGGACAAAACCTGCTCTCATTGTCATTCTCAACATTGTTGTTGATATAGATGAGGGCTCATCCTCTGATGCGACGGATGATCTTCTTCGGAGTTTCCAAAGAACTGAACGGTTTCGAACGCTACAGGCTCTCTGGGAAGAGAGAGAACATCCAATTAGAAACACCGCAGATCTACTCCTTTGCTACTACAGCGACTTCAAAGTAGTCCTCATCCCTGCCATAAGTTCCAAGAGCTCACCGGCCGTTGCAACCTCTGTTGGTAAAAGCATTAGACAGCTATACGAGACAATTCGAGGATCGGTTTCCAAGATCCGCAACGCCAAGGCTGATAGTGGTACAGAATCAGACTTGGCTACTCTCAACACCCACATGAATAGATCTTTGAGTGTTCTGGGTCAGGATCTTCGTGCTGCGCTTGATCTTCACGACATCGTAATGAATGATTCATCAATCCCGACTAGACTGAGCGACCACGTGGCATCAACCCTACGCCAGATGTGTATCTTGCGTGAAATCGACCGCATGGATGCGATTGGGGGCGAAGAAAAAGTTGTAGACGAGTTCGCGCCCTACGTCGGTGCATGTATCGTCGCCCAAACTTGTCATATTCAAGACATTGGTTAGTCCGTGCCTCTATACGTAGGATATGCAAAGCGCTAACAAGGGCAGAAATAAGAAAGAGGAAAAGGGAACACCTAGTGACAGAAGCTCAAAGCGGTCTTCAGAAATTCCGCTGGCGATACTGGCGATGTGAAGCCCTAGAGCGAAAGACCGGGCGAAGATGTCGAAACTATTACGACGGACACTACAAGGGACACCAGTTCACCAGACCCGACGACGAATTAGAGGATGTTCAGGGTCTCAACCGAAGGGGAGGCGAATCGAATCACAGATGTTCCTGGCATCCTGATCGGTTTGTGAAGCGTCTGCGGGAAGCGATAGCACAAAACCAGCAAGATGGCCGAGTCATGGAAAGGCTAACTTACTTGGCAAGAACGATACGGCTGACGGAATTGCAGAGCCAGCGGACGTGCTTCTCTTGTCTATCCAACTGTCCAACTAACATGCTTCCATGTGCGAGGTTTCAGCATGGGATTTGCCAGACCTGCCTTGAGCGTTTTGCTCGCCAGGAGAATGGTGGATCTATCTTGGTGATTGAGCATTGTCCCCTTGGATGTGCTCTAAGAACTGGAACGTGGAGTATTCGAATCAAGCCAAAGAACGCAGCGCCCCGCGTGTTATCGCTCGATGGGTAAATCGATCATCACTCTTCTATCTCATCCAAGGCTAATCGTGCATAGTGGAGGAGTCCGTGGTATTGTAGAGCTTTGTGTTTTGCGTCAGATCGAAAGGCACGTTGGCTATGGTATTGCAATCCATGAGCTTTTCGATCTTGTAGTAGGAACAAGCACAGGTTTGTCACAATCATCACCCCCGTCCTCAGTCCACGACTCACTCGTCAAGGTGGCATCGTGGCTCTTGGTGTATTCCACCAGCGTTGGTCAACAGACGATGCCATCAACAGATTCCGGGCACTAGCAAGAAGAGCTTTCACACTTCGATTGGGACTCGGAAACTCTTTCATCAAAGCCATTGCGCAGCCATTCTATGAGTTTCTCTACACAAGTGAGGGCATAGAACAGTCACTACAAGACTCATTTGGTGGCTCAAATCTGTTCGGTGCGTCTTTGAATCAGAGAAACAACTCTAGGTCAAGGACTGGCGGGAGGGATTGGGTCAAGGTTGGCGTTGTTTCTTGTTTGCAGGGACGAAACCAGGCAAAATTGATCGCCAACTATTCAAGAAACCCAAGAGCAGACACTGATGAAGGTGAGCAAGGACATTCTGCGAATTGATTCGGACTAATTTGATATTCTCCTTACATCAGAAGATTACTTTTCCCGTGAAGACGAACAGTCAAAGGATTTCAAAATCTGGGAAGCGTTAGTTATCCCCTCAGCGGTATTCTAACAATATTTAACTCTTCACAGCGCTAGAGCAACATCTGCAGCACCGACATTTTTCCAGCCCTTCGTCCACCCGGAAACAAAACGGACATACATAGATGGAGCTCTTATGCACAACAACCCAGTATCTTTGGCCTATTCCGAGGTTGAGAAAATCTGGCCTGGGTCCCTTCCTCCTGATATTATTCTATCGATTGGCACAGGAATGGTTGTGGACAAGTCAGGAAATATGAAGACAAAACTCAATTCCAAGCTGGAATCCTTCAAGAGGTACATTCCTAGAGGCTACCTCATGCGGATAGAGGCTGGACTGGGAATCATCCAAAGCTCAACTAGCTGCCACGAGGCTTGGAAAGATTTCAGAAGTATGTCTGTTACAGACCGCCGACTTCGACAGAACTGCCATCGTCTCAATGTAGGCTTGAAACAGCGCGTTGAGATGGATGACGTTGAGAAGATGGATTCGCTTCTCGAAGAAAGTGAGAAGTACCTTTGCGATGGTACGAAAATTTTATATTACGACAGTGCATATAGAACAGCCCCCGAACACCTTCAAACAGTAGCAAGACGACTCTTGGCGTCCCTTTGCTACTACGTCGGGCCTCTAGAGAGGACTATGAAGGGAGGTAAATGTGTTGGGAAGATATTTTGCAGATTGGAGGCGGGTTCTGTGTCTGCAAAAGAACTATTACGAGACCATGTACGATTCCGACTTGGTCAAATTCCGGAAAATAGTACCAAGGCAGTATATCCTCGCATTCTCCATCATCGGGATAGTAAAGTCTGGGATTCAAGGGATCTTTCGGCCCTTGTCGTTCTCAAGGTGGAAGAAGGGACGTGTAGGCGATGGATCGAGGTAAATCTGCCTCACTGGAGGGATGAATGGGAGCCCATCTCCGGATTCCAGCATCTAGGGCACACCAATGTGTGAAGCATCGAATTTACGGCGGTTTGAGCGGAACTGGTGATCATAATATGTCAAAGTTTATTACGTGCTCTATATGACTATATACGTAGAAGAATAAAATTGTGCCTTCACTGATCCACTGGTTCATGAAACTGATGCTGGTGAACACAAAGGTTGTCCTTGCTCAAACCACAGACGCCGTAATGGCCTTAGTGGTAGCGGCCTCAGTAGTCCGGCTCATCCAAGTCGCAGAAGCAGTCCATGTCATACCAAATGTAGTCCGTCTGTTGATCAGTTACGCTCTGAATGTTGCCGCTATATATGTAGCAAGATTGACCGGGAGTGAAGGCAAAGTAAGCACATCCGCTGGTATCATGACAAGCCGCGCGGCAGGAATCCATCGTTTTGACACCGCTTGGACTGTCCAGGAGCTCCATGGCGGTACCCTCCCAGTAGCCACGCTTGTTGCAGACCTTGTCGGATGGAACGGGACTCTTCTCATTGTTAACGCAGGACTCGCCTGATGCAGTGGTCGTGGTGGTTGCAGCCTCAGTAGTAGTTGGGGCTTCGGTGGTCGTAGCCTCAGTTGTTGTAGCCTCAGTCGTTGTCGTCTCCCTCCCTGGTGGACAAAAGCAGCTCAGCTCGTACCAGCTCCATTGCACGGCCGCGTTCTCATTACGTTCGTAGTTTCCTTCCCAAAGCTCGCAAAACGTGTTAGGCCAGAAGGCAAAGAAATCGCAATCCTTGTTTGTAACGCAGGCTTTGACGCAATCATCAAGTGACGCGGCGTCTTCTGCAGCAAGTTCTCCAACGATGCGTCCCACTGATCCGCCAATATGGTTGAACTTGACGTCGCATGAAGAATCAGCTGGAAAGCCGCCAGGGCAGCTATATGTGAGCTCGGCACCGGTGGTAGTGGTTGTAGCAGGAGCGGTCTCTGTGGTTGAAGTGAGTTCGATGGATGAGGTTGTAAGTTCCCTGGTCGTTGCTTCGGTGGCTGTCGTCTCGGTAGCCAAGCCACTTGTGGTGGTTGAAGACTCGTCGCAGAAGCAGTCCATGTCATACCAAGACCAAGCCGATTCACCACCACTAGTACCCGTGAATGAGCCAGCCCACAGCGCGCACCATGAACCAGGGTTCAGTGCAAACGCGGCACACCCGGCCCTATCCTGACAGGATTTGTAGCAGGAGGCAAGCGTTAGGGTATTCGCGTTGCCCAGTAATTGCAGGTCACCTTGGCCACCGCCCTGGGCGTTACAGCTCTTGCCAATTGGAGCAGGGTCCTTGAGGCAGACATATTCGGCTTGGCTGGTGGTAGTAGTAGCAGCTTCGGTGGTGGTGGTGGGCTCTCCAGAAGTGGCAATGCTAGTGATGGAAGTAATATCGGTGGATGCAGTGCCATCGGTGGATGCAGTGCCATCGGTGGATGCTGTGCCAGTCGTGGTTGTCACTGACGAAGGTTTGCATGGGCCGGCCTGGACACCAACTGCAAGACCAACAAAGGCAGCGAAAACATTTTGGGCAATCATTTTGAAAGAGTGAGAGGCTCCCAAAGAAGCCGGTAAAAACGAGTGGCAGTGAAAAGTATGACGTCTGAAGCAGTTTTAGAAGTACAGCGTTATGTTTATGTAGTCTCCTTTTTAAAGCGTCTTTCAGAAGGAAGCTGAAGCAAATTTCCACTGAAAAATGGCCATAGCGACACTACGAAGACACTAACGTAGGGGTCCAGGTTGGAGGACGAATGAGATGTGAGGATTTATAAAGTCTCTTTCTAGCTATCGAGCTATTCGGGGTCCAGACCCCAATAGTTAAGCATAATATAGAATCTTCTTGATTTAAGGCGCGCTAGTGCCAATAGCTCGGCAACATCGCATGTTACTGCTGCTCTAGCTTCCACTCAGTTACAGACTCCACGTGAACACTTCTATTTTTGTTTATCATCAAGTCGACATTGCTCAAAGTTGAATTTTTCGAAAGCTGCATGCTAATTATCTGAAAGTCAGATACTTGTAAAACACAAGTTACCCGTATTTCAAGTAATGCCGATTTGAGCCTTACTGCTATCTAGACAAGCATGGTCCTCAAGGTTACTGCGGCTAACTAATGCTAACCTCATTCACAACCAGTCAAATATTCGTCGATGCTTCTCTGAGTGAAGAATCTAGAAAAGAATATAGAAGGGTTATACAGTGCCTCTTTGTCGCCCTGTCCCAAAATACAGAAGCCAACTCTCAGGTGCACTTCTGTACCCAGCTTCTTTGACAACACCTATGATCCTTAAGTTCGAAGGACATTTTTGAGTATCTCGTCTTGGGTTGAGAGAGTCGACATCTAGTGCTTGTACCACGCATCTTTTCTTGATCGCCCTTAATCGGCCGTATCTACTTCTGTCAATATCCTGAGTAACTCTTGCAACAGACGTGTTATTTGCACTTGAGACTTGAGGCTGATATTTTGAATCAGCATAGAGAAATTGACTCTTGCAATTATGTAGTTGATTGCTGGCAATAGGACCAAACTTTAGACTCAATAACTCCTGGCATCTCCAACAATCCTGCCTCCATCGACGACAACAATCGACCCAGTAGCAAAAGTACACTTCATCAGATAAACATAAGCCTCTGCCAACTCCTCTGCAGTCCCAAGCCTACCTACCACCGAATCCTTCTCCATAGCAGGAAAAATCACGGCCTTAACGTCTTGCGGAAACCCATCAAACAGCGCGGTATGCACAAAACCCGGCGTGACACAATTAACTCGCACAGGCTTAAGATCAATGCACAAAGCACGCGTCATCGGCTCAATTCCACCAGCTGCTGCTTTGAGTAGTGACCAACCCGCTCCAGCAGGACGAGAATCAGTCGTCGTACCCGTGATGGTGAATGAGCTGCGGTTCGTCTGATTGATATAACTCGAGAGATGCTTTGCGACAAAAAGAGCGCCCATAACCCGGACCATGCCGATCTTGGAGATGGCGCTGACAGTCGCTGAGTCGAGGCTTGGCGAAGGATTAAAATCTCCAGCCGTGAAGACGACATGGTCCAGTTTTCCGTCCTGAGAAGCAGACTCGAGTAAGTCTTTGACATTGGCCTCGATTGTTTCCGGTTTGGCGAGGTTGCAGACTTTGCCAGAGATCTTCCTAATTGGAAGATGAGTGTTCTTTATGTGGCTTTCGAGACGCTCGATAGCAGCATCGATTTTGGATTGGTTGGAGCTGCTGATAATGACATTTGCGCCGTGTTCGAGGGCTGCTTCAGCAACGGCGAAGCCGATACCTGTTGAGCCACCGACAACTAGGACGTGCTGGCCATCAAGCTTGTTGGTGTATTTGGTAGACATATTGAGAAGGCTTGTGTATATCTTTTTGCCACATAAGTGCGCACGTCTTCAGGTCTTTTATACATCCCAATCATCCCAATACAACTACATGTCCCCATAATCATGAAAACTCCGCTTCTCCGTAGGATTCAACACCATGTCCAGCTTTCCAACTCTTTTCCTTCATGAGACGCGAAAATCGTTTTGTATGAATACGCGAGTTGTCAAATGTTCAGGGTATTCGAGATGTGAGGTTACGCTCGTCGCGAAATGATTCGTCGGGACAAGTCCGCTGTTCGGCCTTCGGCCTCCGCAATACCCCGGATCCTAAATCCCGACGCGTCATTGACGCGTCTGAACGTGTTCGCACCATAAAGCTTGACCTTATAATCAACTACATATAACGCGAGATGGAGACGATGTTTGTTAAAATGAATCATTTCAATAAGAACAATCTAAGAATCATTACGCTTTATTAACCATGCATCGCCAGTGTTTTAATCAATAGTCTATTTATCTTAGCTCAAACCTGATGAGACATTTGTGATAACACTTTCGCTGGCTGCTATTGAGAAGTAGGCAGACTGTGGATCACGATAACCAAACTGACTGTTTGCTATTGCGGATCGTAGCTCAGCTGGTAAGCGGGACGGTTACGGGTCTGGTGACACAAGCCAAACGACGATCACCATATTATTTCCTTCTTCCATGCATGTCTGACATGTACGACACCCCCCATCACATCGGTCATTCGCATGAAACGGACGCTAAGCTCAACTCTATCGAACATGCCAACTGTCAACTCAATCGCCCCCATCTCGCCTAAGCTGCATGAGACTCTACATACGCCAGCTCAGGCTCATACTTGATCTCAACAGTCTCCCAGGGCTTGACTGTTTTCCCTTCTTGATAATCACCACCAGCAGGCCTCCACATCTGTCTGAACGTCATAGGACCTAATTCTTCCTTAACCTTATGCCATTCTTCACCGGGATTCTCTTTGGTAGGCCGTATGGTGTTGACATTGACGACAGTGAAGCCATGCTTCTCATAAACAGGCACGCCCTGCTCTGTCGCATCAAGCCAAAGCTCAACACCCATCTCATCAGCCTTCTGCTTGCTCCAGTTCATAATAACATTCGCCACGCCTTGGCGACGATGGTCTGGATGTGTAAAGACGATATTGACATCTAAATCGGGTTTAGTCTCACTCCTCAGATCCTTTGAATAGAAAACTTACAGACTTGAGGTCTAGTCCCCATCCGCGCTCTAGGCGCATCGAATTGTTTCAGAGCTTGTGTGATAAACTCTCGTCTCTCCCCTTCCGGCTGCCAATAAGCGTAGGAATGATCCTCATCTGTATCGAACGGATTCTCAGAACAAATCTTCCATAAACAACCGCCTACGATTTTGCCATCGTCGTTCACCACTTTTGCCCAGTAGCTTGTTGGGTCTTCATTGTGCCATTTGAGCTGAAGCGCTACTGACTCCTTGAGAGATTCTGCGTGTGTTGGAGCATTGAGAGGACAAAACATGCGAAAGAATGGCTGGAGGGGATTTTCGTAAGATTCCCATTGACATGCGATGAGCTCTTCGAAATCGGTGGCAGTGTCGACCTCGATGAGTTTGAGAGTCATCTTGCCGTTGTATTGGGTATGTGACAACACGTTTGGGATGGTAGCACAAAAGGATAAATTAACTGAATT